TTTCCCATCTCCACTGGGGCAGGGTATGATTGCTTATTTCTGGTTTCTGTGCAGCAATTGGCAAAGAGCAAGCATTCAAAAAAAAAAAAAAAAGTTTAACTGAATGAATGAACTTGGATTTACTGGACTCATGTTTACCACGATTTCATCGTGATTTTTTTTGTCTCTTCCACGTTGTCACTCATGTCATGTGCCTTACATGGAACCATTTCCTTCTTAAAAAAAAAAACAAAAACTGTATTTTACTGTCTGCCATCCTCCTTAGCAGATCTCTGGCATTTGCATCCACATCCTATATCCCATTTCCTCTCCCCAACCCCTTGCCTCCAGTTTCCTGTCATGATTTGTATTGCTGATATAGTTCACCCCTTAATCACTGGATTTGCCCCTTGACCTTGATTTCTTTGGATAGGTTCTTACTCACTCTTTTTGTCTCTTTACTTTACTCTTGCTTCTTAAAGATTTATTTATTTGTACATACAGAACTGGGGTACAGGCCAGAGACTCAGGGGCAGTGAGAAACTTCACCAGAGATGGAGTGGGGAGCAGAACAGGCAGATCAACGAAGTACACTGCTGAGGGGAGCAGCGGGCGGGTCAGGAGGGGTCTGCCACGCCATGTGGTCACCCCCGGGGCAGGCGGGAATCGAACTCATGGGGAAGTGGCTTTAGCTTCTCAGTGCAGTGCCTTAACCCGCTGCGCCACCAGGGAGGGCCCTACTCTTGCTCTTAAATGTTACCTATCATATCTTCCTGGTTCTGTACTCACATCTTTAAAGCCTAAAGCCTCCCTACCCCTATCTAGGTTCTGAAATCCCAAACCAATTCCACTCTCACCTAACTTGTTCCACTCTCACCTAACTTGTTTAACCCAGCTCACTCTCAAACACAGGATTCCTTGAGGTGCTCTCCATGGAGGTGACCTATGACACTTGTCATTTACATCACACGTGTACACTTAAATTTCTCCAAAGAACTTGAATACACCTATAATAAGTCCAATTCTTATTTACTCACTTATGCATTCATTTAGTCAAGCACTATATTAACACCATAACGCAAAAACACTACATCCAAGCCTGTGGGAGCTTCAGAAGACCTCCTTTTGTTCTGCCCAGAATCGGTGGTGCTTCAGTTTTATTTATGCTTTGACACTACCACCAATTACCCTGGGAGCTTTTAAGTAAATCTGTGGCAATTTGGGTTGAAAACAAATTTCCAAATGTTAGCCAGCTGGGCACATCTTATTTCAGCTATAAATTTAATTTTTCTTCTTTCCATAATGATCCTAGGTTTGAAACTAAGTCTATGGCATATGGAATTTCTCCATGCTTTGGGAACTGAGACTGTATATCAATAAATGACACTTCTCTCTCAAATTCCAGTGCTTTAGCAATGCCCCAGTCAATTTTGTCAACTGCCTGTTCCTTTGGTGACCAGAGCTGGTCCTTTTGAAGGGATAGGCACACGTGCCCTGGGATAGGATATTAGTGTTTCTTGTCACTCCATGGAGGCCACTATCCTCAGTCTCATGTCAATGGATTTTCTGTCATCTTTCTCGAATGTTTATTTTGTTATAAAAATCATCATGAGATGGATTCTTTTTATTTTAGTGAAATGTTCATTTACCTTTACATAAACTATTGATATATATAACTCAAATGGATACTCCTGTACTAATAACATTTCCTTGATTATAAAAGAAATACACACTTAGAGCAAACTTAGTAAATGCTAACCCTATCAACTGAAGCTAACCAGTGCTAACAATTTGCTATATTTCTTGTTAACTATTTCAATGGGCAATTCTACAAATAAACTTCACATTACATAAATTATTTTGTATCCTGAAATGTGGTGTTTAACATATATTGTTTAATATCTTTAAAAGTATCTTATAAATATGATTTTCATGGTTTCTTAATATTCTTCTATATGGAGATTATCTATATAGTACTTTCATCCTCCCATCTCTGGACATTTGAGCTACTTATACTTATCAGTTCACAAGACTTTTTGGTGTGTGTATTTTAAATTTTGTACATATTTCAGGTTATTTCTTTAGAACAGATTCCTAGTAGTTTAGAATCATCTTGGCTTGTATTGCAAAATTGTTGAAATGAAGAATGTTGAAATAATTTATACACTAACTGGAAATGTGAGTGTCTAAATGCCATTGCTTTAGCCAGCACTGATTACTGTCTTTGAAAAATGAATTAAGATTATTGCATTTTTTGATAATTTCAACTATCTTTGACTACTAATGAGTCTAAATACTTCTTTAAGACTCAGTCACCTTAGAGATATTTGCTCATGTTTTTGATCCATGGGTGACTGAACTTTACATAAACATGTTCAGAATAAAGAGGAACCAGGGATATTAGTTACAATCCTGATGTTACCTTGGTATGTGCTTCTGCTCTAGCTCTGCTACTGACTAGCTATGTGACCATCAACAGTTCCTTTGCTTCCAGCTTTAACATCTGGAAATGAAAGCATTCATTTATTTATTCAATTGCTTCTCATTATTTATGGAGACTCTGCCATATGCCAGGCACTGTGTGATCATGGAAATACAACGGTAAACATAATGAAGCCCCTACCCCCAAGGACTTTGCAATTCAATGGATATTTTTCTGTTGATTTTCAATTTTAAAATTCAATTAAAAAACAGTTTCAATAGCAAAGCCATCAGAGCATTATATTTAGAGATTTAAGCATTACCTTCAGAACTCAGAAACTTCTTCCTGGAACCAAATCCATGTGACTCAGTGTTAATTCCATTAGAGGAGATACATACATGCGCCATCAGTTTGAAATCAGCAGTACATGTGTGTATTAGCACATATAGTGACAATAAAGCAGACTTTGGGTCATTCTCACAGCTCTTTTGAATTTAGTGGGCAGGACATCTCATAAAAAGTCGAAGAAAATCAATTTGACCGAGAACTACCCTGACAAATCACTCTGCTCCATATTATACATACCAAATACCAAAGTTTTTTTTTTTTTACTACTTAAAAATAAACCAGATTACAAAACTTCAAAACTTGAAAAATATTTTAGTCTTCATTTAATTTTTTTTCCTAGAGGACTATTTGTTGGTAGATAATTGAAGAAATAGGAATAAATGTACTTGTGAGCATACACAAAAATGCTTTGCCAAATTTAAAAATTCTCATAGGACTTGAAGCAGCCTGCCAAGTTTTAATTTACTAGTTGCCTCTAGTTAAAATGATGTTCACAATGAAAAATTTATTATGAATTTGAGACATTGTCTTCTTTTTTTTCTTGACATCACCTTGTTTTTAACTTAAAAAAATATTGAAGTAAAGTTGGTTTACACCATTGTATTTGTTTTGGGGGTTATAGGTTCAGACCCCTACAAACATACATTTTCACATCATGCCCATTACCAATACACAATAATCTTCTACCATGTTCTATTGGGTCCTCTTCTTTTCCCACTTGTACCCCACCACTTTCCCCTTGTGGTTATTGATGAATAATAAAACATGATGCAACAATTCAAATTTGAATAAAATATGCAAAGAATTCCATCCCACGTATATTGATGCAATTGTGGCATTTCCTTTGTTCTTAACACAGCACTTTCAATTTTTAATCCAATGCCAAAAAAATAATATTGCAAGAGTTGGCTGCATCTTCAGTGTCTTACAGGCATTCTAAATAAACTTGTGATTAGTCACACCATTTCCGATCCTTTCATATCAATGTAGCAATTAAGCACTGAGATAATATAACAGTTTTTGGTTAATGTATTACTTGTGTGTACTGTGAATTCACTTAATGTTGGTGGGCTTTTGGGATCATGATTATTTACCCCCAGAAACTCTGGTTTGTGCAGGAAGGATCTAATGCTTGTAACTGGGCTTCTTGGGGGCTAAAAAAAAAAAAATCCTGAATCTTTGAGTATGGGAAGGGCTTTCAGAAGCTTGTAGGTAGTATTTACTTGGAGATCTTCATAACAATTCCCTATTCTCATTATATTTATTATCCCTGAGTGATTCAATCTACTTCCAAGACATAAAGTGCTAACTAGATCTCTAGTCATGTTCTTCTTCCTTGAGGTCCACACTCGCATTTAATCGCCATCACTTTGGGGCTACCTACTCAAACAGATTAGACTCAAAATACATATACCAGAATGCTTTCTCTTTTTCTGCCACATCAGTATCCTTTGTGGATCCTCTTTCACAGAATGAAGCTATTGCTCATTCAGTTATACGTTGTGCCTAGACCATGCTTGATTCTACCATTTTCCTTATCAGGCATCAGTCTGTTGATTCTATTACTTTAACACCTATCTTTCTGATAACTTCAAGTTCAGACCTTCAGATCACAACCCCAGCTGTGTAGGGGCCTGTGAGACACATCTAAGAGCAGCTCAGAGTCACATGCAAATGTAAGTTCCTGATATGACTCCCCAACAGCTCAGATTACAGTGTCCCTGTCTCCTCAGCCTTCTTCTCACCTGCTCCAGATAAGACCCATGTGGAACTTACTAAATTCCTATTCTCTTTTATTTGAGTTACCATTCTATCCTTAGCCTGAGAACCTCAAGCATCTACATACCTAAATAATGGTACATTGTAAAAGGTCCCATCTCTCTGCCTACACCCTTCTGTGACCTCCATGTGTGGCCCCTAAGGAGTTCCAGGTGTGTCCTCCAGGATGTGTGAGTACTAGATTTCTCTATCTCAATTTCCCTATGGTTCACTGTTGAACCAGCTCACTTTCCAACAACCTGTGCTCCATTGAACAAATGTTTCATTTAACAAAGTCATAAGCTGGCCTACTGCTGGCACACTGCCATGAGTGGACTCTACCATCCCTTGAAAATCATTACTCAATACAAGATTTTTGATAATGATAAAAGAGGGTAAGGGAAATGGGGGAAATTGAACTGAAAAAAGCAGGCTTTCAAGGTAATCTTGCGTCTTGGTTTAAAATCACATGTGTAAGGAAAGAAGCATTTACCTTCTGCTGTGGAAATGTAGATTCCATCATGGCTGTTTCAAAGCTGTGAGCACCCTCTACCTGGGTCTTTTCCCACAGAGCTCGGAGAAACTGCACAGAGTGGCTCTGTATGGAGAGAGGCTCGGGAAACAGACTCTGAAAGGCCATAAAGAACCAGCATTATCTCCAGTTCCAATGATAGTTTGCCAACAAGACACTATTTAGACTTCGCTAGAACCTTACCATTGTTCAAATCTAAATAAAACCACAGATAAATGCCCTTGAAAATTAAACATAGCACAATTTAGGCTTTTCATTTTTAATAGTAAATTTAAATTACTGCATAGGATTTTCAGGGCAATAGATATTTATTTTATGAACATGCCAAACCTTAACAGCGGTTACCTCCATTTCCCAACCATTTTACTTCACTGGAAAAGGACTGATATAAAAATTCATATTTGTTTTTCAAAGATTTAAGAATCAAGGTATAAAATTAAAGCTAGAACACAAATATGATGTGTCTCTATACAGATCAATAGTAGTTAAATAAGTTCATTATGAAATTACTCAATTATGAACAGTATGAATGGTGGTAGGAGAAACAAAGGGGCTTTTAATCGTAACTGTGTTATGAATATTCTTGCAACTTTAAATATTCTTAAGCTTTAGACAATAAGTGTTAATGAAAAGAAAACCACATTTACTTTACTCAAGTCAATATAAATAAACATTTCAAAGAACAATATATATTTTGTATTTTTACTAATCAATTATGTATTTAATCATTATTTCCATGTGTGATATCATACTGTAAATGTGAGAAGCATTTACATTTAAGGAAATAGTTATAAAAATATAAAAAAAAAACAAAAAAGGGCATAACATTTGTTATATATATGTATATATATCAAAAATACCATATGTACTATCCTTTATGTATGATGTACAATAAAACAATATCAGTGGCTACCCAGCTATTTTTAATGAGATAGCCTAGGTAGTCTACGTGTATAACACTTAATTAGTGAGTGAGAATTTATCTTTTTCCAGAAAAATATCATTATTATGATCAAGATGAACTGCATTGTATGCTAACATGGTGCAGGGTCTCATACCTTAAGTAAATGATCCATAGATTAAATCAGTTAAGAGCCAGTAACAGATAGCTTGATTATGACACCCATGATGTGGATTATTAATTATCAAAATATGTCAAAAATGAACATTTTTTTGTATTTAAAGAAGCACAGGACCTGATTATATTAATCATCAATCCAAAAAAGCAGGATAGACGGAGTCTGAATTTGAAGACTGGCATGAATATGCTAACAGAGAGAGTGTGGTGTAGCATATAAGGTTAGTATTGGAGTTGCCATTATCAAGTCAGGATTCACCCACACTACACAATATCAAGTGTGTGGAAAAGGAGAGGAAACATTTAGTAAATGAGCATAAAAGAAAAACAGTGTAAAGATTTTTTTTTTGGTGATTTTTCTTCAAGAAAAACTGAATTATTGGACTTTGTCAATAAAATACGACAAGGGGAAAACTTTACCAATTTTTTTTGACTTTTTTTCAGTAAACTAACAATGGTTCAATAAACTAACAACATATGAAACCAAATACACAACCACTGATGAAAACGACTTGAAAAATATAAAAGAAAATCAATGTTATTTTTTGTTGTTGTTTGTTTTTTACAGGACAATATAGGAAAAGAAGGCATTCCTTAGGCACTTGTAAGCTGTCTGTACTTTTAAATACTGTTTTTCAACTTCATGATCTATTCAGTATTAAAGTTCACTTTTTCTTATATTTATATTTATATATTTACAATCTGTATTCAAATTTTATGTAAAAGTTTAATACTTTCAAGATAAGTATTTCCAGATAACATTTTCTTTTGATGTTAACATCTTTGCACTAAATTCTTCATTGTTGAATTGAAAGCTCCTCTTTCAATAATTTTTATTCACATGTAAGTATTCTGTTGGAAAGGGGGCTATTCCAGTATCTTACTGTGAGAAAGGATATGTTAACCCTAAAATTAATTGAAGATCAGAATACCCTAGAGAAATAAAACTGATTCAACATGAGGAAAATTATTCTCCCAAATAAGCTGGTGTTTTTTTGTTGTTGTTAAATAAAAAGTATTTTGCTTTTCATTTTTCTTTTTTAAAGCTAGCGATATTAAGATTTTAATAGATTTGATCTTTTGATTACAAATTAAGGGATTTTCATAAGGAAACTATCCTAAAACATAGAAAATTAAATTTAAGAGTACTAGTGAAATATATGCATTGCTGTTATCTATATACCAATACTAGTCAAAGAACTAATAATTCAGTAAAAATTATTATAAGCTTATACCCCATTCACTCATTAATGGATCATGATGGCCACAAATTATACACACCTGCTGAAACAGAAACATGATATGGATCCATGACTGAGGTTCTTGGCTGACGAGAATGAAACTGGATTTGCTGTAAAGGCAGTAATGGCCCTTCAGGGAGCAGGTGAAGAACAACTTCGCTACACAACTTCTAACAGAATCTAGAAACCAGTGCACATTGCAGTAGACATTAGATCTTCCCAAAGTTACACTTTATACTTGAACACACAAACACTTTCAGAAATACATTCTTCAGGTCTCAGTCTATCAATTACTCCAAACTTTGGAGTGGATTCAGCTCATGAAATATAGATTTAAATATAGATGCTTTAAACAAATTATAGTCTATCTAATTGGGAATCTTCCAGTGACTTATATGGAATTAAGAAATTTCTTGCCAATAAAAAGGAAGATGCCTTGTCATTTCTACTTGATTGGATGCTTGAAATGATAACCTGGGAGGAGAAGTCCAACAGATGGAGGAAATCCAGGCACTTTTGGGGTGATGGGCAGTGCCATGAGCCACACACTGGTCTCTTGGTTATACAGAGGCCATGGAGAAAGCCTCCAGAACAGCTGTGACCAGAGGTGTACTGCCTGTGTACTGGCCTGGTCAGCTTAGAGAAGGTCATTTCCTTTGAAGAGGCTCAACAGGGAAAGTGGATAAGATTGTTCACCACTAAGCCTTTGGCACATGGCACACAGTAGATACTCTATAGAGAGTGTCTAGACCGATGAATACTGCTCCAAAATCTGGAAAAAAAATTACTCAAGTATACCCAGTCTGTGGTAGAGTC